CCCCCCCCCCCTACACATTAGAAGCTGGCAAACGCCGCACACATGCGAGGGTTAAATAGAACTATATTATAAGACTAAACGATAAGAAAATGTTGGATTAGGCAATCGGCATGTTATAGATCGGTTCAAATGAATGGCGACATGAATCGCTGTCAAGAATTATGAGAGCAAAACAAAAAAAAACTAACAAAACAACGGAAGTTATAAACGGACATCGAACTAGCGGGAAAAACTTACTTAAAACGGCACAATACACGGACAGGTACGGACATAGATGGGGTCATAGAAGTTATCATGGGACGCTTCTGACGGGACATGGAGACAGGGAGACCGCGTGGCCGGCCGTCCGTCCGCGCCGCCGCGGCAGCCTGTAGCCAGGATCGATACTGGAGGCCATTCGCCCGTGGCGCTCTGAAGGCCCCGTGGCCCGCTCCAGAGAGCTACCGCCGGTCTGAGGGGAACAATACAGGAGAAAGGCGGAGAACGGCTGGGTCTGGAGCGAAAGATACGATCACAGAGTCTGAGCGGAGGGCAGGGATGACTCTGGAAAATGGAACTGTGGACAAAGGTGGTAGCCGAGTTATGAGCATTCATGGGGAAATAGACGTAAGAATATGCTGTCCTGTGAGGATACCTAATGATCTGATGAGAGGTGCTTACGAGAAAATGGGCGGTGGCACAGAAGAATGGCAGTACAACAGACCCGAGAACATGAAAGAGGTTACCAAGCAACAGGCCTGCCAGTGTGTGCCGTTTTCCAAGTATCGCAGACGATAAGCAAAGCAACACGCCAGTAAACAATTCTTGTGAGGGTCCCGTCGCGTGCTCAGATTCGCAGGCACAGACGAGCCGTTTTTCATGCCGACCCAAGGGTCTCTATAAGAAATGCTCAGCAACCAACGAGGTTATAGTGTGCAGCCGCAAAATGGAGCAAGTTTATACGGTCCTGCTTCTGAAATTCAGAGCATCCACCCAGTAGCATTCAAAGCCGTATATTAGGGTAGCGTTCACGGTCAATGAAGCTGCTTACGCACGCCCGAATAACCAAACCGATCAGCGTATTAACCACCCCTGCTTGCATCCGGCCTCCGTGATTGACAGTTCCGAATTTGCCGGTCCAATTTCCCATGAAACCCGACCCTCCAAACGTGCCTTATTACCGCCCAACACCCCCTGCCCGCGAACCGTTAGACCTGCCAGATCGGCCAGCTGAGGCCGGCTGGGCCGCCCATGAGCCTTTCTCTCTGGGTTCGGCGAGCGCCGTGCGTTCGACGGCCTTGGCAGAACGGGTTGCGGGCGCATGAGACAGTGAGGGGTGTCTCCAATGTTGTCTGCACTGCAGAGTGTGCAGGGATGACGTCACAGTGTCACGGCGGACCTCGATAACAGACAGGTGTAGGACTGAAGAGGGAGGGGAGAGCTGTGTCGAGGAGAGCGGCAATCGGTCGGGACTTACAGGAGTCATGCAGAGGACAGATAACGTTCTAAAATACAACGGAATTGGTCACGATCCAAAACAGAGCATGTTAAATTCCAATTCCCAAATCAATAAACCAACTATTAGTACCTTTTAATTCTTTAACCATATTGTCAAGCAGAGAGATAATACAAATTACAGAGTCTACTCAACACAGCAACTGTAATAATTACCAGCGATTGTTTCTGACGATTAGTTTACGAGACATAAATCGCAACAATTCATAAATCACTGACAATGTATGATCCAATATTCCGGCTTTACCAGATAGCAAAGCAGATCGAGTCACATATACCTAAGCTAATTAAGTCGCTCGTGTGCAGCTAAATCCAACAAATGTAATAAGCTGCTCCTAAATATCCCAGTAATCATTAAAGTCAAACCCACTGACTGACAGAGTTGGATCATATCCCACAGTACGGACATTAAAAACAGTAAAACAGTCAACAGATCAGACGACTGTGCAGCTACTGTTTGCTATGTTTCGCCGCTTGCTATGTCTCAGCCGCTCGATTCGAGCTCGGAAAATGTTTATCAACAGCTGCACATATTCCTGCACAGATTTCGTGTCATTTCTGATGCCGGGGCACGACTATTTAGGACATGACTTGTGGCTCGAGCATGAACGATCTCTGGAATGAAGCAATTGAACAATGCAGAGGTTCGTCCAGTGAGCACTCGTGACATTTCTAGTCGGTTTCGTGGCACGCCTCTCTATGAAAGTTTGAGCTTCGCCTTCGCATATGTCTATAATGTGTCGTAACTAGTATTGCCAACCACTGACCTCCAATGCATCGAAACGTAGGAAAAGGGAGGTTATGTGGATATGTTGACCATAGCCCCATAGAAAACGCAATGCACAACAACAACAAAGATATAAGGTTAGGAACCGAATAGTAACATACCGCCCATTGAAGGACCCATTCATTTGGACGTAATTCGAATAATCCAACGTCGTTAGCGAACAACATAAACTTGGATCTAACAAGACAAGAAAATTGTAGTCGTTTCTTACAAATGCCATGTTCCATTTCTTCGCCATCTCTCACTCACTAAAGGGCGACAGTTCGCGTTAGCTCTCATGACATCCAGTAGAAACCATGTCGATGAGTCGGAGGGGGGGGGGGGGGGGGGAGGGCAGGGGTCGCCCGAGGGGACAGTGAGTGAGACGGATGACGACATGAGCACACTGGTCTGGTGTTGACAGAAAGCGTCTGGTCTGTGTATGTGTAACAGAGATGTGGGTGGTCCCCGGAACTTCCCGCGGAGTTAACTGACTCAGAGAATCACTCAGAGATTCGCAGACTCATAGACTGACTCACAGACCCACAGACTTAGGGACTGATGGACTGACAGACTGAAAGACTGAAAACCTGAAAGACTGAAAGACTGAAAGACTGACAGAATAACAGACTCACAGACTCTTAACCCGCGCACCGACGGGGGTCTGCGCCAACTTAGTACCGACGGGGGGGGCGGATGACCGCCCCCCCCTGAGATCTCGAGAACGAAGCAAGATAGCGACAAGCGGTAAACGGCATCGGATACGCACGGTCAAGATCTACAATTTTTACTAAGGTCATTTTCAGGTCAGGTCAAAGATGACGTCACAGGGGTCGAAAAAGTCAAAATGGCGGCGCTAAATATGGAGAGAGTTTTTCTCGAATAACTTTCGAATTAGTCAAGATAGGAACAAACTAAGGGCATCATCGTGATCCTCTCGTCAATCCGCATCGAATGATATATATGTTGACCTCGAAAGGTCAAGGTCAAAGGTTGACCTCAGGTCACGTGACCTCGAGGTCATCATGTATATCATTCGATGCGTCTTGACAAGCTGAACACAATGAGACCATCCACGCGTCTGTATCTTGTTCCTGTACGGAGTTATTCGCCAAAAACCTTTGGTGACCTTTGATGACGTCACATGACCTCACAGCTGCCCAACAGCAAAACAGACCTCAAGGTAGTGAAGGTTGATCGTATATGAAGTCATGTATGGTATATGGGGCCATTCCGACCCGTTTTAGTGGTAAAAACAGGGAGTTGATTTTTCCCCCATTGACTTATAATGGGGAGGTCGCGAAATTGACCTGACCTTAGGTCACCGATATCAAAATTCCGAGATATACAAATTGTAGCTACTAATGACCTAATAACATCCTGCGACTTTCAAAGGCCTCCGACATCTACTGTAGCTCTGGCACGGTGACAAAGTTGCAAAAAAGTGACTTGAGGTTGGGTCATTCAAAGTGACCTGGTGACCTGACCTTGAAAGGTAGGAGGTTCAAACTTGCACACCATGTGTAAAATTGATAAGGAAATAGTCATACCAAATTTCGCGGCGCGTAGCGCCGCGGTTTTCCCGCTATTCGCGAAAAACCTCAGGGGGGGCGGATATCCGCCCCCCCCCCGTCGGTGCGCGGGTTAAAGGGACCCTCCCACCTTCAAAAAAGTTAATGAATTGGCACGAAAGTGATGTCGCTCGGTTCAGAAAGAGCGAAAACGAATATCTACCAAATTTCATCGAAAAATATTCACCGGTTTTCAAGATATTAGACTTTTACTTTTGTTTACTTTTTGGGATCTCCGCTGTTCCTAGCGACTTTATTTGAAAGTGCGGCATTTGTTGCGCGCAAAGCAGCATATACCACCGCGTGCTACCAAACGTTTTAGTAAAAGATTTAAAAATCGTTAGATCTCCGCTGACGTCACAAATTCTAAGGGGGCATACCAATGCACTAGCCCCTTAGAATCCGAAAACTGCAAGTTTGAAATTCCATATCTCCGAATTAAAGGGACCATCCCACCTTAACATTAGTTTTGAGTTGAGATAGCCAAGTTTGCGGCCAGGCTCAGAAACCACCATTTATCCTGGTCGCAACCCCCGCAGCTTTATGGTGTTCAAGAAATTTCTTCCCTTTACTTGCAGGGTGGGACCAGCGTAGTCCCTATCTCTTAACCATTACGGGAATCTGATGACGTCATCAGGCTTTCGAACGTCCGTTAAATGTTTGACTAAAACGTTTTGTAGCACGCGGTGGTATATGCTGCTTTGCGCGCAACAAATGCCGCACTTTCAAATAAAGTCGCTGGGAACAGCGGAGATCCCAAAAAGTAAACAAAAGTAAAAGTCTAATATCTTGAAAACCGGTGAATATTTTTCGATGAAATTTGGTAGATATTCGTTTTTGCTCTTTCTGAACCGAGCGACATCACTTTCATGCCAATTCATTAACTTTTTTGAAGGTGGGAGGGTCCCTTTAAAGCATTTGTCGATGTTGTGAGTGCCCAAACCGGTATTTGCAGGCCATGGCCACCAATTTGGCTATCTCAACTCAAAACTAATGTTAAGGTGGGAGTGTCCCTTTAATCACAGACTTGGTTCTCACTTCTCACTGAACGACTCACTCACTTACTCATTTACTCACTCACTCACTCACTCACTCACTCACTCACTCACTCACTCACTCACTCACTCACTCACTCACTCACTCACTCACTCATACACTCACTCACTCACCGCCGCAGTTGTGGTGATACTCGCCGTGGCGGAGACGACTCGCGGAGGCTCGGGTCCGTTCTCAGCTGTACCATTTGTGTCTCCACTTCCCGTTTCATACAATTTGTGACGATTCGCTAGCCGATCCATACTGGCCAGTCTATAAGAAGGTCCCTGGTAGCCTGATGACCGCTCAGATCCTGAGAAGCTGGTGCCACCGTAGCGTGGCAGTGCAGAGAACTTTCGCACCGATGAACCGCCGTCCTCGGTTTTAGTTTTATCGGAGAATTCGACGCGTCTTTGACGGCGCTCGCCATCCTCCGAGGCGGCTTTGAACGTGGAGAAGGAGGTTTTGAAAGAGGTGGCGCCGGTGGCAGCAGCGGCTGGTGCCGAGTCTTTATTGGGCTCGGTCATGGTGATGATCCTTACCGCACGAGGCCTCAGTTCGCTCGGTAGGACCAGTTACACGCACGTGGAAATCGGTCCGCTGAAAACCTCTGTCACTCCCTCCGTCACACGATGTCACTTTTGTCACCAGCTCACTTCAGCCCTCGCTCAATTCACCACCGCCGGCCGTTCACCAATCGCTCGCGCTGCCGGCGCGGTCACTCGCTCCCCCCGGTCCACCCGGCTCGCCACCCACTACACACTGCGCTGGCCAGCCGTGGCGTCACGACGCGACTCAGAGCAGACGTCACCGGCGACCGCGACCGGCCGGCTGCAGCAGCTGACACACGGCACAGGCCGCCGCCCCTGAGTCAGCCGGTCACCAGTCGTACGCTCCAGACCGGCCACAGGCGGCCGCCGAGCGGCGATCGATCCAGAGGTGCCGCGCCGGTCAGCGACAGCCCTGCCATCTGTCGGTGAGGAATGTAACCACATGTGTGGTGGAGGGGTGGAACGGTGTTCAGATGTCGCTAAGGCTGCTTCTACTTCTCGATGAGGCCTCAGGAGGGGAAGAGAGGCTGAAGCGTAGACGGAAAGGTTCACGAATATTTGAGGATGAACAAATGTGCGTTCACTGCGGAAGTAGCTTGAATCAGTTTGAACCAATGTCTGCATTATGGTGCTCAACGAGCGTTTAAACTTTTAAGGTCGGCATTTATAACAAGACCGTTAAATTTAATTCAAGAAAAACAGCTCAGAGCTTGATAAGACCCCATCCGAAATGTCCCGGAAAGACCCAAGGCCGAGCAATCTCTTTGTGTTTGAGGATGAACAAATGTGCGTTCACTGCGGAAGTAGCTTGAATCAGTTGGAACCAATATCTGCATTATGATGCTTAACGAGCGTTTTAAGCTCGGCATTTATAACAAGACCGTTAAATTTAATTCAAGAAAAAAACAGCTCAGAGCTTGATAAGTCCCCATCCGAAATGTCCCGGAAAGAGCCAAGGTCGAGCAATCTCTTGTAGTGGTGACAGTGTTTCCGTCCGGGACCGCTGGGTAGACAGTGCGGGGCAGCGGACCTCCTCTCATTCGTTTCAGGAGACAGTGAGGGTGACGCCTGTGACAAACGTGGCCTAACAGTGAACGCGGACAGCGCCGGATCCGTGGGAATCGATTCGGTGCTCGTTCTAGCTCAATCTAGCGAGGTTCGGCGCTCATTCCAGCCCATCGGGGCAGCGGCTGGCTCGGTATCAGCAGAAGACTGCCGAGCTATGTTCCGTCGTCTACCGTCCACCAACCACGCTGCCATGTCTGAGAAGGGAACCTGTCTGTGCTTCAACCTGCGGAGCGGCGCGATCGCAATCGGCATCATGACGCTAATCCTCGGAGGTTCTATCACCGTCTCGGCCGGCGGTTTTCTAATCTTCCTCCATCGGCGCCAGTCCGTTCCACATGACCGGGACGACCTGGCATGGCTACTAGCGGGCGCTCAGCTCGGTGGCGGCGCCATGCACCTTCTGTTCAGCAGTCTACTGATACTGGGCGTCAGGAGTCACCGACCAGGCCTCGTCCGGGCGTGGTTGATCTACCAGGGTATCACAAACGCGATTCAAAGTGTTATCATCGGAGTGCTTCTTGGGATTACCTTTCATGCCAAAGATAAAGCGGATATATCTGTAAAGAACACAGTCGTCGTTCTTGTGTGCTGCGTCGCTGTGAACGTCATATTTTGGCAGTGGTTGAGAGTTGTGGCAAGGTATTATATGGAAATGAAAGAGCAAACAAATGATTCCAATGAATGTTAGTCGATCGAGGACAGCATCACTTTGCTTGCGACGTAAGTGTACCTTTAGCTGCCTTCTCGGAGTGAGTGGTTTCCCGTTGATGGTCACCTTAACTTTTGTGGTCGTTGATATAATCGTGACACCGAATGCATATGTTATTTTCTCCGTTTATCGTCTATGATGTTTTTTTGATAGTTTATTGATGTTAACAACCTTATCGTTTTCATCATTTTGCATCAACGATTATCTATTGCCCGGTCTCCGCCCCGCTAGCGCAAGGCATCTCTATCGGGAGCGAACAACGAGCGCTGCAGCGGTTCGAACCTGGTTTAGACCTTTCGCGACAGTCGTTCATGTGTGACAGAAGCTCTAAATAATTTAGTTTTGTAGTTTTTATTCATTATTCATTCAAAGTTCTGAGAAAAAAACAGGTTTTTATTATAGGTAGCGGATGCACATAGATACCAGACTACTTAACAGCTCATGAAAGCTGTGCTGTTTTTTGACCAGCAACGCATAAGCCGTACCATTCACAATATAAGCATAACGCTAAACAATGGTATTTCATTCAAGTCATTTAAGTGTAAGCAATAGTTTGGATTCATTAAATGTACAATTAACGGGCAATATACAGGCATTTGGGCACAGGAGAAAATAAAGCGCATCGAATGTCTTCCCGCCTCGTGAAGCGCGCACAGTGTCAAACAAATGTCCTATGCTGAGTATTCACCGAGTCTTCAATCATTCAAACGATCCACCGATCTTGGTTCAAGGCACAGTTCCAGTGGCTCTCGACCACCTATATCACAGAAATATCACCGAGCTGTCTCCCTCTCCGTCAGCTCGATCGACTCAACCCTCTGTGGGCGACAAACGTCTCCATCTCGCTGCTTCATCTCTTGCAGGCAATCCAGCACGACTTTGAACCATCTCCAGAACAGGATGGTCACCAATATTCCCCCGACGACTATTACTATCGGCATGGTACGGCTGTCACTGATGGCCCACCATAACAAAAAGCACAGCCCGACGCTCTGGAGACTGTTGGCGATGCCGTGGTAGAACAGCCACGCCAACACCAAGCCCGTTCTGTTCACCATCACACCGTGAATAAGAAGGCTGTTGAAGATCATACAAATGATCCCGAATTCAGCCTGGACGCTCATTATAATAAGCAGGACACTGACAAACTCTCCAGTGTAGAGTTGGTTCTCTCCCAGGAACTTGCGGGATGCTGAATTGTAAAGGACGAGTATACTTCCGGCAGAGACGGCCACCAGGCCGCCGAGAATCAGCATCGTAATGCCGATAGCGAGCGAACCGCTCCGCAGGCTGAAGCAAAAACAGCAGCTCTTCTCAGGCATGGTGGGTGGTATGGCTGACTGGGCGCCGGTCGGTCGACGGTGAAGACACACTGAACTCGAAGTCACACACGCAGCGGCTGGCAGTACTGACACCCCAAACTGCGGCTGTGATGGCTGAGACCTATCACCACACCAGTCTCACTGACAACTGAGTACCAAACGCAGCAAGGAGCTGAATGGACGCGCACATGTTTCGACGCCGGAAGGGAGTCGAGTCATGTCTGGAGCGGCCCGGGCCAGCGGCGAATTGCGCAACTGCTGTTGCGCAACCGGCTGCAGTCGAACTAACGGCGTAGTAGTTAGTTGCACCGAGTGGCAGGCACTCGGTGCAACATGTGTAACGACGGAATTGCCGCTACACGTAACAAAATACACAGAAAATGAAATCATAGGGAAGCCGGGAGAAGCCGGTATAGTACAGGGGAGGATGGGATAATTTGGCCACCTTTTTAGAAAACGATGCATCTCTAATTTACTGCATATCTCTGCACACTCTCAACGCTGTATCACATTAATTTTACTTTCCTGTACAATAAACTGAAAATGATATAGAGTAACTACTTATGCTTAAATTTTGACGTTTACAAAGGTCTGAAACTCTGAAAATCTGCCAATTACCCCGCTAGCAGGGTTCAGCGAGTCAGCTTCAGCGTCAGTAATGACGTGTGTCTATACGCATTCTTGAGGTTGACTTGGTGTCGGACTTGTATTCGAAATACTTTGAATGAGGTCTTGTCAGCGATTTTAACATTTTCGTGCACAGCTCAGAACGCGATTCCTTAGCATGCACCGTTCAATCATAATTCGCATTAATTTGTCATAGGTACTGACAGAAACTACCGACAATTCCAGTAGGTCTTGCTGTCAATATTCGAGTTTTAAAATAAAAAATTGATGAATCGAGTCATGAGTATCAATAAAAACATTCCGACATATTTTGGGTTGTAATGCTAAAGCATTATAATAAAATTTAATGATAATGTTTCATTTACAAACACGAGACTTTTTCAACACCGCTGCGATCTCCTGCATGGCCGCCATCGCTGGGTCCGTTCGAATATATCGTCACTCATTCAATTAGGACGGCTTGTGTTTTGTCTACAAAGACGAGTAGGTACCTACTATCTTATAGGCCTGATATGTGGTTATAAAACATGCATATGCCGTTTTTTCATTTGAAAGCTAGGATCCACGAAATCAGATCAATTTATTGATTTCATGAGTTTTTAAATGGTCACGGCCCCGCCCCACACTGCCACCGCAAGCCATTCAATGATCGATCTATTTTTGGATCACCGCCGCGTAGTTTTCCCAACTTGAACTAAGATGTTTCCGAGCAAGCATAAGAACAACAAAGTAGGTGCACGCTGAAATAAGCTTACCGAGAGTCGTTTGCTCAGCCAGGCCAAGGCACCGGTCCAGGGATCAGGATTCCCAGTGTGTTGACTCTTTGAAAGATTATTTAAATTGTTGCGCTGCAGTCGGATGACTGTGGTCTCAGTCTAGGAATATAAAACGGCTTAAGTATCGACCGATCGTTCACCATCAAAGTGCTTTCACACACTGATACGCTGGTGAATGAAGAACACACCACCCAGCATGAGTAGCGCACATCCACCACACGCACTTCTCTCTGCACTCTACACCTCCCTGTATCTCGGTTGGTACCGCACTGCTCGCCGTGACGAAACTCGGGTCAGTGACCTCTGGCCGGTCAAGGTCACCACATCGACCAATCCAGGAGGGAAGGGGCCACCGCAGTCGGCCGGCTTCCTTTCACTATTGACGCAAAGAGGCGAAGGTTTTACGATTCGTTTTTGCGCGAATTTTGTCTTCTGCTTGCATGTACTGGCTACAATGCCGACCTCCTGTCATTTTCTGTCCCACCATTTTCCAAACAATAAAAAGGGGAAAAGAAACTGAAGTCAAAAACCATTGAATGCATTCTCTGGGCCACCACATATCCGCATTGCCGAATTTTCATCGTCAATTTTTATCAACTTGAACTGCCTATAGTTGGCGATCACCTGTAGCTCTGCTAAGCTAGAGCTCACGCCGCTTCAGTTTTCCATTTCAATCAGTAGATGGCGGTTGGCGTAGGACGACCGCCTGAATCTAGGCTAGCCCGCACTGCTTCTGTTTCCCATTTCAATCAATAGATGGCGCCGCTAGGCGATCGCCTGTAGATAGGCTAACCCGCACTACTCTAGTTACATATTCCAATCAATAGATGGCGTTGGACGGCCGCCTGTCGGTAGGCTAGCCCGCAAGGCTCCAGCTTTGTGTTCTGATGTGTAAATGACAGAACTGTCACAGTTGTAAATACGTAAATGCGTTCAAGTCCCATCTTTGTGGTCCTCTGTAGGCCGGGATATAGTAGCACAGTCGAGTCATCAGCTTGCCGTCTATTCGTTCCGCGATTTTTAATGGTACAGCGGAACGCCCGTTTCTGTTACGCTATGTGTGTAGGTACCGTCTTGTGTAAGTGATTTGAATGGAGCAGCGATATTTGGGGGGATCCGTGCTATCGTAAGTTATATCGGACGTGGCTGCGAAACTTCTCTCGGTACGAAACTTCTCTTGATCGGAAGAAAATCGGAGGGATGAAAAAGAAAGAGCGGCAAATCGGAGCTACGTTGTACGTAAGTTGTTTCGCAGCGTTTAAATGCCAGTTTTACTACGATTTAAATGCCAAGCAGATCAGCTGACCTCGTAGTACCATGTCGATAAGGTCGAATTCCCCATAGGTCTATAGTGTAAAAGTGACCCCTATTGCAAATGGGCTGTCAGGGACATCTCCTCCTATGTAAATTTGGAGGGATCATGTGTCGGCATTCCCACGTTCGTTTCGGAGTCCATCTGTTCCATTTGGAGCCCGTCAGTTGGCGTCAAGAGTTGGCGCAGCGAGCGCCCCGAAGACTGCGTCTGCGCACGAGGCTTCGCGATGGAGGAGTATTTTGACGAAATCGCCCTCGCTGCAGAAGAAATAGAGGGACTTGTTGAGAAAGAGGAGGCCGCAGTGTGCCGACGACTTTAAACTGTACGCCAACGCCAAGACCAAGGCAATCAGGGGGCGCTCAGATGATCGGGAGGTTTCAATTGATCAGGGACCCACCAGGTGACCAGGGAACCCTCTGATAACCAGAGGTCCTTCCAGTAACCAGGGACTCCTTCAATAACCAGGGGCCCCTCAGTAAACGTGGGCCACTCAGGTTACTGCAAGAGACAGGAGTCCCTTATAACCAGGGACCGGCAAGGTCTCTCAGGTCCGTTTTTGACAAAGCTGTTATTGATGTCATATGCGAGCCCTTTGCCACCAGCAGAGGGCCCTTTCAAGCCTTTTTTAGGGCTGTTTAACGTCTCTTGAGTTTCCTTTGAGGCTAAGGGCCTCTTCAGCAGCCGAGGGGTCTTTGAGGCCTTTTTGAGGGCCTCTTAACGTCAGCTGAGGACCGTTGGACGCCATCTGAGGACCGTTTGGGGCCTTCTGATGGCCAGTAGATGCCAACTGAGGGCTCTCTGACACCAGCTGAGGGCACGCTGACACCAACTGGGGGCCTCCTGACACCAGCTAAGGGCGCTTTTATATTTGACACGAGCTCAGGGCCCTTTGACGCCCTTTGAGACCTTCTGAGGTCCGTTTGGCGCCAGCAGAGGACCCTTTGGGGTCATATGAGGGCCCTTTGCTGCCTTGCCTTCTAAGCGGCCTTTGAGGCTTTTTGAGGGCCGCTTGACGCCACCTGAGGACCGTTGCGGTTGGACTCCAGTCACGAACCGTTTGAGGCCTTCTGATGGCCATTTTGCGCCAACTGAGGGCCGGGGGGCCCTCTGACACTAGCTGGGGGCCCTCTGACACCAGATAAGGGCCCTTTAAGGCCTTCTGAAGTCCGGTTAACGCTAGCGGAGGGCCTTTTGAGGCCAAATGAGGGCCCTTTGAGACCTTATAAGGGCTCCTTGAGGCTTTTGAGGGCCGCGTGACGGCATCTGAGGACCGTTGTACTCCAGCTGACAACCGTTTGAGGCCTTCAGATGGACTTTTGGCGCCAGCTGAGGAGGGCTCACTGACACCAGCTGGGGGCCCTCTGACACAAGCTAAGGACTCTTTAAGGCCTTCGGAGGGTCGTTTGACGCGAGCTCAGGGCCCTCTGACGCAGGTTTAGGACCCTTTGACGCCCTTTAAGGTCTTCTGAGGTAGGTTTAACGTTGGCTGAGAGCCCTTTGAACCCAACTGAGGGCCCTTTGAGGCCATCTTGTGTCCCTTCATTTGGCCATCTGAGGGCCCTTTGACACCAGATGAGGGCCATTTGACGCTAACCGAGGGCCCTTCGAGACCATCTGAGGACCCGGTGACCCCATCTGTGGGCCCTTTGAGGTCTTTTGAGGGCCATTGAAATTTCACCACAATACCCCTGGCTGCGCTACTGGGCATTTATGGACTCGTATGGGCCTGCTGGGGAACGAGATGGGCCCTCCCGGTCTTTTTAATCATTATTTCAGTTCATTTTACATGGTCTTCGGCGGTCTAAAGATTAGGGGCCCCAACTGGAATGGGGGGAGGCCCGTGTGCCCTCTCCTGTGTGCGGCCTTGCAGACACTACACCGCTTCCCCTCCCTCCGCCATAAACGCACCGCTGCACTGCTAGATGCCGACAAATACGGACCGGCGCCGCAACCGGCTCCCCCGCGGCCTGCCTCGCGTTGACATAGCCCTTCCCGAACACCAGTGTAACCCCCACGCGGCCAGGTATCGCCGCGCCCACCTGTCCGCGGCGCGGCCTCTGATGGCGTATCGGATCATTGATGGTGCGATACATGTTTTGGTCAGATTTTCGCAATTAACGCGAAAAATTGCCCAAAACACTTTTTAGATTTCAAAATTGAAAAAAAATAATTACAAAAATGACGTGAAAGTGACCGTTTTCAATGTGTAAATTTAAAACGCTCTAGCGCAGCCATTTTTGAAGAAATCGACTTCAAATTTTGCACACGTGTTCATCAACCATATTTGTTTAACATATATTTCGGTTTTATGAAAATTTTGAAAATTTCTTATATTTTTCTCTTGAGAAAGAGGTAAAGCTTCGCTACGATCGGCCTTCCGATCGACCGAGAAGATTCGTAAAGTTAGTTCGTATCTTCACCATTTGCGATACAACTTGCGTATCTACTTAGCCTACGATGTGATGGATCCCTCCAATATCTGTTCCGATTCAACTTACGTTTGATCGCAACTGCGAGGTGCCTTGCGATCACATGGATCCCCCCAGCCTATAAATGCCTTCGTTTTACATTGACATGTAGCACACCTAATTAGGTATCAGGTATCAACGGTTCTGCATGTCGTATTATCGTGCACATCTAGCAAACACAAACTGTGTGTGTCCTACATTGACCATTGACCGCACTTGCCAACAGTTTGATAACTCTTTTGGGACTCGCGAAATCTCATCATTAGCCGACCGCTGAGTGCTCAGTGCTCACCAATCCCAATTCCCACATCCCCCCATGATCCCACATTAGGTCCCCACTCCCCACCCATCGTCAACTCCTCCACCCCCACCCCACGCCCCGCTTCAGCTGTCAGCCGCCCAGCAAAGCAGTAGCGGCGGAACATCTTCAATTAAGGGGGGGGGGGGGGCACTACCGACTTTTGGTCCCATTCTTTCCATGCAACACCCATAGGGCTAATATTAAAATGCAAAAATCAAAGGTGGCACGGTGCCCCGGTGCCCTCCCCGTTCCACCGCCTATGCAGCAAACGCATTGTTACACGTTACATATCAATATGTATTGCCAACTCTCTACAGGCTCAAACTCTGAATCGTTCGCTCAGAATCCTGCTCCTGCGATACAAACACAATATGGTCTCCACGGGTTAGCACAATCGAGGTTTCTAGTGAATGGAGCTCGCATAAGTCATCCTACGCCCAGCTCGTCACCCTTAACGCAGCCTCTGTTACTGAAATCCTAACCAAACATACTTAGGTACGAACAAGTGCACACTCGAGCGCATCATTAGCTCGTCAGCACATCACTATTGTACTAGACAAAATGGCGGCCAAAAGACGCGGCCGCCGCCGACTCGTAGACAAGTAAAAATGACGTCATAAGATCACACTGAGCTCGACTGCGCCGGTGACGTCACCGGCGACCGGCTGTGACGTCAGCGGAAGAGGCTGACGGCAGCCGGTCCAGGAAGTCGAACGTGGCCAGCGCCGCCTGCTCCTGGGGCCCGTAACGGAAGAAGAACTCTGGCCGGTTCATGATTGGTGGACGGAAGACGGGGGTGTAGCGGAGAGCGCCATCTTTCCTCCGGGACACTATAGACAAAAGAAAAAGATCTGGTCAGATATCTAACAACATTGTATACAACGAAATATCTGACAAAATGTAATAAAATCGTAAGTCACATAAAGCACAAACATGTAGCTATACCTAAATGTTCAAATTGAGTCGATAGATGAATACAAAAATTATTTTGTAACAAGAGAAAACTGGCAAGAAGGAGCTAAAGCAATCGACATAGATAACGTAGCAGTTGTGATCGGTGCAGTGGACGTGCCTTGTTTTCGCCTGCGCTGCTGATGCAGCAGCTTCAGGTGCTGATAGTCGCCAGCTGACCGCGGTGTGACGTCACTCTCGCTGTCCGACGAGGACGAATCGGAGGAGCCCCGCGTGGCCTGCATGACGTCATAGAGCTCCGAGCGCACCTGAAGTGGGGGAGAGGGCGTTACAATGCGAGGGCGCGCGAGGGCGAGGGCGTTACAATGGGGGAACTACAGCAGATTGAGGAACAATGGATGAAAAACAGAGCAATGCACTCATGGATTACGTTGGATCTGGAACAGCGCTTTTGAAAATTTAAAACACAATCGAGCGCATTATAAACTTCATGTAATAACTTCACACTGAGTGAGCAGGTAAGATCACATCGTTACTTGATAGGATGTTCCTTGTTCAAGGAACATCTAGTGTCCCAATTATTGCGGCCGTACCCCTCACCTGCGCGTTTCCCAGGTCCAGTCGGCGGTCGACGCGCACCCAGCCGGTGTCACAGCCCTCCCGCCGGAGGCGCGGCTCCAGCGGCGGCGGGGCCGACGCCTCCTGCGGCTCCAGCGCCGACATCCGCTTCAGCTCATCAATCAGCTGCCGGCTGGTGGCGCGCCGGTGGAAGCTGGTGACGGCGCCCTCGGAGACGATCAGCGGACTCTGCCGCGCCGCAGGCATCTCGGCAGGCTCGCTGACTGTCCGCTGCAGCTCGCGAGTTTCCCTCGCCGCTACTCCGGCTGCCTCTCGCGAGTCGGTAGAGCGAGAGCCGCGCAGACGAGGGATCCGTGAGCCGGGCCGAGCGGCGGCGCGCGCCGGAGCCGGCGGAGCGGTGGCGCGGCGCTGCGGACTGTCCGACCGTGGCGCCGGCGCCGGCTCTGCTCGCCGCGCGCCCCGAGATATCGCCGACTCTGAGGAGCTCCGGCCGGCGATTTTGGAAGACCCTGGATGAAGCCGCCGCAGCAGTTTGGGTGAGGGGAAGGACGGCTTGGAGGCGACGGCAGCGGGCTGGGCCGGAGCCGGTGGGGGTTCCACTGGCTCCGGCACCGGCCGAACCGCGTCCTTCTTTAGCCGTGGGGTGAGTTTGGGAGATGTCGGCGGCCGGACGCGAGGGATGTTGTTGGGCGCCGATCGCTTTCGCTTCCCAATGAGAGGACTCCGAGGGATGCCCGACTTGACCTCCTTCGTCGTCTTCGGGGAAGCTCCTGGTGCAGACAGCGATGTAGATGGTGACACTGATGTAGAAGTGGACGACGATGTGGTCATCGAAGCAGACGCAGACGAAGGCGTTGACGCCGAAGCTGCTACCGGTGCCGACGCTGTTGATGTCCCTGTCCTTGAACTCTCCCTCGCTCCAGCCCCAGCTCGACATCTACTCTCAATCTTCCCTTTCTTCTTCTGCGCAACTCTCGCTGCCGGCGGCGTGTACTCCTTATGGTTGGTAGAGATCTCCGCCCGGTACACTATCACCTCAGGGGCCGCCGCCGCGACGGGAGACACGACAGGTTTGGGCGTCACAGTTGGCACAGTTTCACACACAGGAGTACTCGGAGCAGACGGTACTGACGTCGAAGGCGCAGACGATGGCGGCGACGAGGAAGAACAAGCAGACCTTGGCGCCCGCTCGGGCGTCAGTGGGGACCGCTCGCCACACCGCTGCGCCAGCCGAGCCAGCTGGATCGACGAGTCGAGCGCGTCGCGTTCGTCATAAGCTCGTTCAGTCGTCGCCGGCGGTGCGGTGACGGTGGTGGCTGCCGATGTGGCAGACGATGTTGACTGATCCATGGCCGTGTAAGAGGCAGAGTCTGAGTCGGTGATGGGCTCTCTCGCCTGCGCCGCGTCTTCTGTTTCGCGTTCAGCGATGTAGCGCTGTTGCTCAGTGATGAAGTTGAGCATGGAAGCTAGCGCCAGTTCGCGGTCGGCGGAGGACACCAAAGGTTCGTCATCACCCTTGGCTGATGCCTCGGACAGTGCCAGACTCTTGGAGCTCTCATACTTCACGAGACGGTAAAAGTCCCGGGTGAACTCCGTCTCGAGATTCTCGGGCCGTTCGTCTTCAGAAGCGACGCTGGCACAGGACATGGCGTCACTTCCATTGGAGTGCCGCTTCAGATCCTCCTGAGCCTGAGCCTCGAGCCGACTCTCACATTCGGCACTCTTGAGGTCGTTCTTATCATTGAAGTCGAGGACGGCATCCCTGAGGTCGGCAAGACTGATGTGCTCGCAGCTGGACCAGCTGATACGCAGGTCCGCCCCGGGCGAGGGCAGCGGAGGTGGGTCGTCCGAAGGGTGCTCGTAAGGCCACGCCGGCAGCCCGGACGGCCGCTGGTGCATGTAACTGGCATTGTTCCACAGACACTCGCTGGCATCCTCCTCCAGTTCCAGGATCGCCTCCTGGATGTTTGGGAAGGAGCCGACGCGACTGTAGTCACTGCTGTCCGCCAGTCTCTCGCTGCCCGCTGCTTCATCCGTCAACTCAGACCGCAGCTCCTCAGCTGAGAGGTGCAGACTCCAGTCCTCCATCTCTCGAGCCTCCAGACTGAAACAGTTGCGCCACAGTTCTGAGCTGTCGTCTCGCCATGGAAGAGCGGCCGGGACAAACGCTGAGGTGGTCGGTGGGCTGCCTCCCCGCTCCAGACTGGCCTGACCGGCCGCCCGTTTCAGTGACGCCGCTCGCCGGGTGTCGAGAGTTGACACAGCTCCTAGCTCCAGCGTAGACGATGAGCGTTCCGGGGCGCGGCCTGACCACGGTCTACTGGCTGCCGCCTCAGCCGCCCAGCGTTTGACGCACAGTCTCGAGTCAGACCGGCACCGGTGTACAGGCCGCGGCCGGGCCGGTACCAGGCAGCTGTGACGAGCCGCAGGACCCGTCAGAGGCAGGTACAGAACGTCCGACTCTCCGGCAGTCTCAGCGAGTAAGTGTAGTCGCCGGCCGGGCCGCAAGGACTGACGCAAGGCCTCCACGAGACAGCGCATATCCTCGCTGTCACTGGAGCTCACTGAAGCGGGCCGGTCCGGTCGCTCGGACTCCGAGAGAGCACTGGTGACAGCAGCTGACGCCAAGGGCCTCCCATCCTCTTCCTGGACTTCTCGCACATCCTCTAGCCTGGGTCGAGAGTCCGACGATGTCTCAATACACGCCGGGCCCGGCGATACACCAGAATCAGCCGACACATTGGCTTGAACGTCACTCGACATGGTAGAGTAACCCTCATCGCGTCCCTCTTCTCGGCGAGAGTCCTCTCGCGAGGCAGGGCTGGCGCCGTGCGGCGGACACGAGCTTGCTCTCGCACCAGAGGAGGGAGGAAGACGCTCTGAGGTTAGCGCAGAGAGTGACGTACCCGCCGGTGACGGTGATAGCTCGGACGGCAGAGGTGGAAGCCCGAGTGGCAGTACTCCCAGTGTGGCATATTTCTGCGAGTCGGTCAGGGCAGTGGAGAGGTGTAACGGTGACGGCACTCGGTTTGGAAGAGAGGTGGCGCCCGGCACCGAGCACTGTTCCGATCCCAGCTCTCTCAGTAACCGCTGCAGTAACCGCTGCGCCGCGTTGGCAGAGTCCGCCGCCTCACAGAGTCGACGTATCACATCACTGTCCGCCGCCTGGCGGCCGTCTGTCGAACTACAGCCTGCCGGCGCGTCCGCCGCGCGGCGCTGATCACTGCTCGGCTGATGCAGCCGGCAGTTTGTATCACCCGTGTGACTAGTGCACAGAAGGCAGGGGGCCGGTGTGGCGTCCTCGGAGAGCAGCCCATCCAGCTGCGACCAGCGCAGAGGCTCCGACGGCGGCTCCTCCCCGCTGCTCCCAGAGGAGCCGTAATGCTCCTCCAGGATCCGCCGCACCTTGGCGCAGACCGCAGTCAGCTGCTCGTCGTCCGATGAACCACCCGACGGGGCCGGCGCCGGCAGCTGCGAGAGACAGACATAGTTCGTCAGGGGCGAGAGAAAAAACATCGGCGATTTCACGGCCTACTAATCACCTCATCGGCAGCGCTTCCCTTTCATTAAACACCAGCTAATTGCCTTGAATAGGAACAAAGCCTGTCAAGCGCAAGCCTAATTAGCCGGAAGAGATTTTCAGGAGGAAGAAAAAAGATTATCGTCTTCCCTATAACCAGAAAACCAAGCCTTTCGTTCCTGTCAGGCATTTCAATACAACCATCATAACTCCTCGCAATGACCAGATCCCCGGCAATGATAACGCACAATATCTGCGAAAACATTTCATTAGAGCCATCATAACTTCTGATAACGACAAAGACCAACGCAATAATAACACACAATGCTTGGGACTCACACACTCTCCCCCAGTTCGTATTCAACACAGCCCTAGCTATATTCTCTAAAACAGCCAGCAAACTCGGTCACCACACAAAACAGGCGCATCTTTACGCAGCCAGGGTATCATATAAGAGCTAATAATGCCGGCGCTGTCTCACCGTTGTCTGTGACGTCACCGGTGGTTGTGACGTCACTGGTTGAGGCGGCCTGCCGAGCAGGGTGAAGAGGACGGCGTTCTCGTGCTCCAGCTGGTGAACACGCCGCCTCACTGTCTTCAGACTGTTCTGCAGCGACTGTGGAAGAAACGGCGAGGGTTAGACGCTTTTGGCGGCTGGGAGAGCGAATGTGGCCAACTAGTAAACAAAATGGGTTTGTGGAAACGTGCAGCTTGTTTGTGGGTTAGGTAAGTGAAATAATGGGTGGTATAAAATGTTGGTGCGACTCTGTAGTTCAACAAAAAAAAAGATGACGGGTGACGAAGTTAGAGTTTATCGCGTCGCAGAGCTTTTAAAAGCCACACAAGGTAACAAACTGGCTTTGTTTTGATACCCGATTCGAGCAGCACGTTTGGATTTTAGTTTCTCTTTTAATGCGCTTCCTTGCAGAACCTGAAACTACAAGCGCCGCACGCTAAACCAGCGTGATTATCGTTGAGTGGATTCAGGAAACCAGTTAAGTTACGGTGTCGAATACTGTAAAAAACGAGTTCATGAATTATGAATGGCTGGCTGAGCGCAGTGAACGACCCAGGCTAGCCGGGCTTCATTAAACCGCGAGCACGCGCCCGGTGGCACACTGCCGCCACGGAGCCGGCCACTGCGGCTCGGCGGCGGGCCGGGGGCTGCTGCCTGAGCCACCGCGGCGGGCCACAGTGAGTCGCAAAATTGCAAATGAACACATGGAATATGCATGATCCGACTTAAACAACCATAATTTAGGCACTGCCTAATGCCCAACGACCTTAATGATATCATCAGAACGCGCCTACTATACATGCGCATGCATTACGTTTGCCTCAGTTTGCACTCCTCCCTCATCTATGTAGTGGTCGGACGGTGATAAGCGTTTTCCTTACACTGTTTGTGGTCGTCTGCCGGCTCCGACGTCTGCTCGACTGCGCAAATATCACAGCGGGTTTTACGTGCCAATACACACCATAAGCATCCGGATATAAATTGCTCCCGACTGATTCGTACATTCCGGGTAAAGGATTTTGACCGCAGCCTTTGTCGCGTCATATAATGCAATTGCCGCAGAAAAAAGCGTGAACATATGACGATAGCGTCACATCCGGAGCCACAGAAGCTTGTGGTTGTGGAAGCTTCTTCATGTAAAGTAAGCTGAATATCTAGCGACAAGTCACCATAGAATGAATGGACGATTAGTTACCTACTTATGTCACAAAGCAAAAATACCTTTGCGGGTGAATCAAGAAAGTCGGGTTCAAAGTGACCGCAGCAAAAGGTCATGGTTATGACTGATGGGAGAAGACATGGGCGAGAAAGGTCTGATGTGTGGAATCTTATGACGAGCTGAACTGTCCCGTGAGTCATGAACTGCAGGGATAGTTATTTTCACTGTCGTCAGCACCAGTTTGTTCATACGGAAATACTTGTGTCTGCAAAGGGATCACGGTTCGATTAAAGCTTTAGGCAACACTTCCATCCTATATAAGAATAAAACACGAAGAGTAAAGACAGAAGAGAAGAGGAAGAGTGGGAGATTAGCAAAACCTTTACATTATGCAAGATATCTCAATACAAGCTCCTCACCTTTTGTCTGGAGAGCGCCTGGACGATCTGGTTAGCGACGTCATCCAGGCAGCGATCGGCGCGGCGTTCCAGCTCATCACGCTCTGCCTCCAGTGACCTGACCCTGACCTCGAGGTCAGCTCGGCTCGGCGACCCAGTCTGGAACGGGGTCAGTAGTGAAAACATACGTCCTCCGGTACAATCAGCGTCAATGCGACATTGCTGGGACATAAATATGTTTGTGTGCTTCAAGGTCACCAAAATAAGCATAATCAGAGCATGCTATCCCGCGTAGCAATAAGGCAGAGGCCGTCGTAATTTAACAAGATACATGACGAACAATCACAGACGGTTTAGTTTCCGTGACCTTCGTTTTCCCTGCTGACCTCTGACCCTTTCATTGGTAAATTCGGTTGATTTAATCTGCCACCCGTAATCATACCACGGTGAACCCTGACCTTCAATGTCTCGGAAAACGCTCTCGGCCTCTGGTTTCTCGCAGCATTGACATAGTGGAGACAAGTCAAACTGCCTGTGATTGCCGGGTACAGCCAAGTCCAAGACGTCAGACGCCGTGCTCCCTCAATGCCGTGTCATTTTCGCTCGGCGCCGCTAGCCCGCGACCCCGACCCCCGGGACTCCGGGACAGTGAACCTCCGACCTGTGGCTCCCACGGGCCCAATCTCCCCGCTTTGTCCTCCGTCGACTGTGATCACGGCACTGCGACTGCACCGATCGATCGACCAGCACTCTTTGTGCCTTTGTCGGGGACCGGCCGACTAGTGATCATCATCATGTCGAGTTGTGGCCCCATCCCGTCCGCCGCCGTCGCTATCCGCCATGGACTCAGTCGCCGGAGGGTGTCTGGAATTGTGCGTCCGCCGCGCGCACAGTCCCGACGCTCATCGCCGGCTATCAGAGGCGGTTAGCATTGACGAGCGTCCAGATTTCACGACGGCCCCTCGTAACTTTGCCGACGGTGAATTAAACATGAAGACAATCGCCGAGAGAGGGTGAGCTTGCTTATAGCGCGGAAAATTCTGCCGGCTGGAGATAGGCCTATTCTGGGCAGATGACCGCACGGCTTGAATGAACGCCTGCCAGAGGGGCCAGCGTCGGCACGAATCTCGGAAAGTGCGCTACTTAGACTGTTTACATCAGTTAGAGCTCTGGGAAGGCAGTACGGTCAGGAACGTGTTCCGCATACGACTGGAAATGTTGCAGGGTTATGGACAGAGCTCTCTGATGTCGATCTCACAGTTTGCCGTCAGTGAATCATCGTGCTGTCAGTTCAGGTGTCAGTTTTACACACTCGGCGCACGGTCTGAGTCGTAAACCTCGCAGCCGTCGGTGCATGGCACGGAATAAATCACATCATCTCCCTAAACCGACATTTCACGGCCGCCGCCATCAAACGCCGTCAAACTGCGACGATCACCGCCGCATTCACCATAATCAACCCTCAGTCGCTGCGGATCAACAGACGGTCGTAAAACTCCGAAACCCCTCCCCCACCCCTCAGCAACCGACGCTGCTGAGCGCCACTCGACGTCACCGCCCGGTCAGAACTGCAGCCACTTCACGGCAGCGAGACACCAACTCACACCCAGCCCAGACCAATAAATCCACCAAACTCTCCACCTCTCGCCGTCTCTCAGACCGCCACTGGTGGTCTCTTCCGGACAAAGACGTTGCCTCACGAGTCCGAGGCACGCGCGCGGCTCGTTCGGAGCCGAGTCGTCGCCGGTGCGGTGCCTCATTTATCAGCAGACGCTCACGACGGGCCGCGCACCGCCCCGACGGGAGAGATTCACGCCCGTCTTCTGCGAACGTCGCGTCGGCGCCGACACGGGCCCGGTTCTTCGTACAGTAGAAGATGGGGACGGGAGTAATGAGAACTGCGTCGACCGCGTCGACCGCGACGACCGCGATGGCGGCGGTAGCGAAGGCAGCGGCGACGGAGGCGACGGTGGAGGCGGCGACGACGGTGGTGGAGGGGAGTCGAGGGCTGTAATTTAGCTACTAGCGTCGGTGGCAGCGTCGGCAGCAGCCGTGGAGGTGGAGGCAGTGGCGATGGAAACGGCGGTGGCAGCGCTTGATTACGCCCTCATGAAACGTGTTACGAGGCGTCGGTAGTGGCAGTGTTCGACCCAGCTTGATTATACGTGGGAAACCGAAGGTCTGGGCGCATCCAACACGCTGATTACAGGATCGTGTTAGTACCTATCGTGACCAATGGATTCCGCCGGACGGCTACCATTTTTGGCATACAGGTCGTGAGTTAGATATTACGACTGAAATGAGTCATTGGAGGACATCTGCGCTGCTGCATCGTCTGAAATCCGCTGATCACTCTGCAACGAGTTAATCCGTCCCATTCATTACATGATTTAAAGGAGTGGGTTGATATTGCGGCGCTGTCAAATACGTAGCCTTTAATTGTGTGGAAGTTTATCGGTCGATCTTGGCCACAGAAAAGCGAAAAATGTATCACCAAATCGCTAACAAAAGCATGTAATTTCCTCGGAAAACCATATAAACGATCGTATAATTTCTCATAAACCAATTTTACACGCACGCTATTCGTTTTAGTGCGCAAGAGTTTTAGACCAAGACCGGACAATTCCATGTCCACGAACCACCCAGACCCATGTTCCGTCCAATATCCTGACTCTTCTCGTACCGTTCATGGCTGTTTTCTCATCACGTGGTGCTGCGGTCGCCCGGAGGCGTCGCCTGAGGTGTAATTAGCCGTGTGGTAATTGGGCGCCGGAGTCACGTGACCGGTGCGCGAGACAAGCGGCCTGTCGGCTGATTGGCTGGGACAAAGACAGCGGCCTCATCGAGGGGCTGGTCGATATGTCACGCACTCTTTGGGCCTGTCAGCGGCGGACCCTCGAAATTGCGCCGGGCGCTCTAGGAGTTCGAGTGACACCAATCGGCTCTCGAGTTGTACCATGAGATTATCCATGGAGTCTAAATTTTAGTGATGTTGATAAATAGCCATAGCCTGCAACTTATCCTCCACCTCTTTGACACTGTTTCAAAATGATATATCCTGATTCAGCGCAAATAAAGCACAAATTTTTCGTTCCCTTCTGTGGACTTGTCCTCTTCTGTGAACAGAAACAATAAAAACTTTTCACTAAGTGATGATCTTTTGGCCAATTGCCGCAGCAAACTCACCTCAGCAGTAGAAGCTGCCGCCGCCTGAAGCCGCTCCAGCTGACCCGTCAACTGGTGGACCTGACCCAGCCAGCACTGGCGCTCCCTCTGCGAACGAACAGGGAACGCATCCCAGGTCAGAGCGAGGGAACCGGCCCAAAACCCCGCCCCACGACTGAGCCAGAATAGAGACCACCCAACGTAGATCGACGACGGCACGTGTATGGAGTGTGATTGCCAAGCAGCGTGCTTTACCAGATGCATATGGTTAGGATAATTAATAACAGGCCGGTTTGACGGGCTCCGGCTGTTGGGTGGCATTACAATGACCGAATGCAGCAGCCAGCAGTCACGACATTTTCATTTTTCCCCATTTAGGCCGGAAGATACGATCAAACCTGCCCTGCATCATGAAGAGTCGGTTTTCAAATGGCCTGCCAGCGCGGGGCCGACTTTTACACCGCCGTCGCCGTCCGAGGTAAGACATCCTATTTCTCCGCCTCTGACCCAAATGGTGGTCACAGCACGCCTAAATTGTCGTCGTCTCACCGAAACGACTACCCTCGGGCCCGGCGGCTTCCCCGAATTTCTATGGTATCCATCATACCACCCCACGCATTACGTCTAATACCGGCCAGCGGGCGGGGGTCCACCGTCAGTTGAGACCCATTCCGGTGATATTTTATTAAGCCCATGTGTCGCCGGTAGCAGGAAGTGCCCAAAGGGAGGAACGGGTCACCGCACGCACAAAGTAGGATGGGGGAGGGGGCACGCAAACCACCAGCGGGCACACGCAGACCGCAGGCGCACCGTCGCAGCGCCGAGACGCCCCATAAACCACTGCGGCAGAGACAGCGCCAGCGCCCCCGGACAGTACTTCATCATTGGGATTATCATTGGCTGCCGGCGGCGGCATTACCTAATTGGCGCCCGAGGGAGGCGGCCAGGTATTAGGGCGACCCGGGGGCGCCTTAGAGGAGCCGATCGGCTTACCGGCGCCGGCTTACCGCTCGCGCCGCCCGCGGCCGGCGTGAGAGGGCCCCGGAGATGTCATCTAAAACGAATCAACGCGCGCTACCCCACAGGCGATCAACAGCGCCGAGCTAAGTCGGCAGAGGCGCCGACAAAGAAACGCTGGATCCAGCGCGGAGTGGAGCGCCAAGTCAGCAAAGCCGGGACAAAGTCGACAGTGCTGACAAAAAAGGACAGGCTAACGAAAAGGGCAGCAACACACAACAGGATGCACGGGTCCCAAGCTAGAACGGAAACCTTATTTCCCACAGGGAAGATAACCGAATTTCGCAAGCTCAGTGCGGCAAGTCCCCGGGATATGACCAGCTGAAGGATAATCATATCGACATACGGTTCAGAGAGCAAAACTTGTGCATGGAACATGTTTAATCACTTTATGCAGCAGCAATGCAATGCCGTGACGTGAACCCACCTCATGTGCCTTGACGATAGCCTCCATAGCCGCCAGTTTCCCCTCCGTCTCTGTCTTGGCAAGCTCGGCCGCCCGCAGCCGCTCCTCCGACCTGACGACAGACGCGGCGGGTCAAACGAAGGTCACGGAGCACACAAAGGTCACGGGTCACGGGGCCGCGGGTCACCACAGCGCGGAGGCAGACGACGCCTCCGGCCGGCCGACCGCCGCGCTGCCGCCGAGCTGATGGTATACTTCCCGTTCAGAGAGATTGGCAGCGGCGATCTCATCTCGAGCGGACGGCGGCGGCGCCTGACAACAGGGCGAGCGAGCGAGGCGAGTCTGTTCACTGTCCGTCAGTGGAGCCACTGCTGCTACTGGTGTCTATGGTGACACCAGAGACAGAGATACTGTCACCTTCGTCCGCAGCAGCCAGACTAACAGAGATGTCCTCTGTCCTGTCCTCGCCGCATCTCCGACACTGACCAACTCCATGGTGTCGGAGATACGGGTGAATACCGTCCCGTGTCACAGGCTGACCGGTCACCCCGACAGCTCACACCTGCCTGAAACAGGCAAGGTGTTCGGAAGAGACAGAGGACTGACAGGCGGCCTCTAACGGCAGGCGCAGCCGGGGACAGGTGGTGACAGACTGCCGATAGTCAGCCAGTCCAGCAGCCGTCAATAGAGAGATGGTGATGGGAAGATAGGGTTACCAGCAGGGTTGTATACGACTCAATCAATAGCAATCAATTCAATCACGACAAATTTGGGAAACCAATCAAATCAATCAAGTCAGAGCAGTTTTCGGGAATTGATTCAATTGACTCAAACGCGACAATGAAAGGAATCAATCAACTCAATCAAACGACTCAAACCAAGACATACATTAGGTTTTTTGCCCCACCAACTTGGAAAAGTGTCCATAGCAGTCTGGTGTACCTACCTACCTACCTACCTACCTACCTACCTACCTACCTACAGAAGAAACATAAAATTATTGTCATTTAAAATTATAAATTGCCATGCCATTCAAAGTTTCTATGTAATAAGGAAGGATACCTAGTGATGGGCAGGTGGATCATGATATTGAGGTTCAATGGGTAGAATTGGAGCAGAAGTTTCATTTAATGGGTGCAAAATAACCTAGTAGTTTACTCGCCCCTAACCCAAATCACCACCTTTCACCTAAAAGTTGTCAATTTAATTTTGGCCATATTCCAACTCCATTTACACTAAATATCAGATATTGCAGTTGAAAGTTGGCTGCTCGGATTTTGGCAGTGTTCGTGATTTGGCCATTTACCCTACATCATGTCTATTTTAATGGATAATATGCATCAATAACATATTAACCATAGGGAAATAGAAATAAATATCTTACCTGCATCATGCATATGACGGTTTCGGTTAGACAGAGACTGACGGGCAGCCTGAAAAATCTTTCCACACAATGTGCATTTGAGACGTGGGATGTTGTCAGATTGGGAAGGAAGAGATTTGAAGTATTTAGCGGTCCACGACTCTGGACGTGGCATGTCAATGTTAGGTACCTATGTGAAGAATTCAAAACATTTTATTGCAATACATTTTGAAACTGTTAGGACTGGGGGATAGGGATGAGGATTGAAGATATATTTAAAAGGAAATGGAGAGGACAGGGACTCTGGAACCACAGGATAAGTTAAGGACAAAGGAAGGAGGAACAAGGAAAATTAAAACGCGAAAACGGCACGGTGCGACCTAGGTGCCACTGCGAAACAAAGAAAACGTTTTGCCAATAAGTATGCTAAGCTTTTATAAATCCTTATTCTACGTCTTTTGATTTTTTGGTAAGATGACGTCATTGATTATCATGTAGTATGGCAGATCATCATAAAATAAATCGGTTGTACAACATCAATTTCGTTTTAATTATTATTTCATTTGAAATAAAAACACTTAATAATATTCGGTAAAATATTTTAAGGAAAATGAAATATATTAAATATGTTATGCTTAGACTCTCAGGAGAAAAGGATCAACAAACGTTCTGCTGCAAATTAAACAATGCAGCAAATTAGCTATTAATTAGACACGTAGACGTAATTAGCGAGACGAAAGCGGCGCTTTTGTTTCAGTTATTGTTGTAGGGGTTTCAGATATTTATAGTCCAGTGGGTTGTTTCTGAGGAGATGTGGGCCCTGTTTCACCGGTGATAGCAGCAAGCTACTATCAAATTGCGCGAGCTGACGTAATGTGATGACGTCATACTGCTGACGTAAGGGGCAATTCTGGCGCACGATTGCCGCAATATTGTTTTACGTCATCGACTAAATATTCGAAGTTTACGTCCAAATTTTCCTTAAATCCAACTTCTTTTAAATACATCATTTTAGAAAAATATATATCAAAAGTAAATAAACTATCATGACTGCATAAATTCTTACTTTTAGGCTCATACGTCACTTAATGCCGCGGCCAAGGTCGCGGCCATCGTGCGCTGGAACTGCCCATCACGTCAACAGTATGGCGTCATGACATGACGTCAGCTCGCGAAACGTGATAGCAGCGTGCTGCTATCACCGGTGAAACAGGGCCGTGGAGATGTGAGTTATTAATTAATCACACTTTATTAGTATATAGGGCCTTGCACTTTATCATCTGGATTAAAAAAAAAAAAACGTTTCCTGCTGAGTGCAGAAAGGTAGGTAGGTGCATCGCCAGGTTCTATCACCAGGATTGGAGCAGTTATTGCAGTTGAAAGTCAAAGTTGCCTGTTCATGTCTAGGCTCTGTTCTTTATTTGGCCATCTACCCCATATTGCAGTTGTGATGACAAACAGTTTTCAGTGTAGTTTTGTGATCTTTGATGTCATCAATTGGTGTCATTATTTTTCGTCAACTAAAACTTATTTGAACTTTCCATTCAATCGACTCAATCATACGAGTCACTCTAATTTTCGGGAATCAAATCAGTCAACCAGTCGCTAAAGTCAAACGAGTCAGTCAACGAGTCATCTCGAAAAGTCAATCGACTCAATCCAATCAACTCAAAATACGCGTTGAAACAAATCAATCAATTCAATCGACTTGATTGGTATACAACCCTGGTTACCAGCCGATCGAATGACTAACCAGATGAGTACAGAGGAAGGGATTGTCGGTGCTCTATGACGACAACAAAATTTGTGCGATTAGAGTATAAATCGACTTAAATCGACTATATAAGTGTTCAATCGACTAATAAATCGACACACGCGAGAGGCATATTATAAAATACTGGACAAAAATACACATCAAAAGTCAATATTGAAATGCTGGCAAGAGGATCACAGCGCTAACATAAGGATAAGGATGCACATAAAGATGGCATTTCATGGACACGTGGCAGAATATTAGAATAACGGAACAACGGATACAGAGCACGTGACGGGTCATCATAGGACACAGAAAAAGATAGATTGGAGGAAAGGCCATCAGCTAGCCAAACATGTAGTTGAGCCTGAATACAGACAGGCGGCTGGAAGGCGGACAGTCGGTCTTTCACAATACGGGGATGCGTTCAGCTCTGAAACTCTTCGTCTCCATACCACCCACGTGGATTCGTATGATATATCTTCTCATTCTCTCCGGGAGCCCCAGTAAAGTGATTCTTCTCTCTGAGAAACGGCCTCTCACTGCTGCCTCACTTTTGAATCTATTTACTCCGCGACTCCTCCCGACAGAAAGCGAACGGAGGCAGGCAGAGCTGGCCAAAACGGCCCAGTCTCTGCTCCATTTTTACATCACAATCTGGCGTCTCCTCTGTCGGAATCTCTAAGATGTGTGGCCGGTCCGCTCGCGTCTCGCGCCCCCGCGATCACAGATGAAACTTTACGAGCGGCGCGAATTTCCGGACGAATTTCGGATCGGCTACTCATCATGTCCAAATTGGCTAACTTTACGGCATAGGAAAATTGCCGGCTGCATGGAGCGTCCAATAACTCACGCCGTGTGATAGATCGAGTCGGCGGGCACAACGGTGAAAAATGAATCGACGACGGACAGGGCACGACCCGCGATACAAATGTGCGAGAACGGAAAACGATTTCGGTGTAAAAGGAGTGTCAGCGCTGAAATACGCCGCTTAATGCGACACTAAACGCCGGCTACTTTTCACAAACTTGACTGAGGGCTCGTAATTCGGTTGATAAATTGTACAGAAACTTGTGGGAAAATAAACGATAAGTAAACATAATTACCTACGCTCACAATGCCCAATAATCTGTAAAAGAAACAAGATTTAACGCAACGTATCACAATAATCTATACCAGACTTTGTGAAATACGCAGCACGCGAACAATAAAATGCCGTCAGTTTAATCTTACAAGACAAACTAAGCACACAGCATCTGGAATCGGCCGAGGCAGACTCGGTGGTGTCACTGACCTCCGGAGCTCATCCTGCACGGAGAAGATGCGGTCGCGGCAGCGGTCGTTCTCGACACTCATGTTGAGAGGTTGGCGGCTGTGACGGGCGCGAGATTCTCCTGCTGTCCTCTGCAACAAAAGAAAAAAGCTCAGTTAGTGCGGGAAATTGTTACGAAGCACCTCGAAAACAGTTGTTTGCGGGTATTTACAGAAAAAGTTGCCGGATCGTGTCCATTTGGTATAAATTAAAACCAACGTTAGGGTTCAATTTTTTTTTTTTTTTTAACAGCGAATTATAGACAACTGTGAATAGAATGTGAGAGTGAGGAGGTTATCGCTTCGGGGGGGGGGGGAAATAATCAATTATCGTGCGTTGGGGGCCGCATTAGAAGCTGCCTCCTGCCAATAAAAAACTGCGAAGGCAACGCAGCAACAACAACCCGTTCCAGTATCGCTGATTTGTGGTGCGGAGACATCGCAGACGACAGCCTCGTGTCAAGCATCAAGGCGAAACAGCAGTTGCCTCTCGGAACAACAGAACAGTTCTTTTGCTAAGCCACTTAGTGCGGGCCACATGTCGAAAAGAGGCCGCAATCTCAGGTCACCCGATATGCATCTGGCCGTCAACAAACATTGCGACATCTGCCGTTGTGTCACAAAACAACATCTGGAAAGGAGGTCATCTCATACCGCATCGATCTCACGTAGCAACAGAAATATCCTGCCCGACCTTCACGTATCGCACATTGCAATCGGGTGAGTCTATCGGCCGCAATTCGCGCCTTGCATTTCCACACTTTTTACAGCTCAATAAAAATGAAACAGATTGCCACGAGCCAATCAGACCCACGTGAGAAACATTACACCGGTGATCTTAAGCACCTGTGTCAATGACATTGCCATAAACCGCCCGGCCACGCTACTACGAGGCGTTACACCATGGCTGCTGCCCGGCCGGGCCGAACAGCTGACCGCAGCTGGCAGCAGTGTTCGCCACGGGCCCCAAAATCCCCAGCCCAGCCCGGCCCGGGCCCATGGGTTCAGAGCCCGGCCCAGCCCGTAGCCCGCTCTTGGCAAATATTCCAAGCCCAGCCCGGCCCGGCCCGTCAAAAATAGCAATCTAGTTATTGTCTTAGTCTATGGCTATAATAAGCATGATTGATTACACTATTTTGAGAACAATTCAAATTGCATGAATATTAACATGGCAATCATGACTCCCTTCTTTTCAATGAATATAATCATTTCAAGCACCTATGGCACAAATTTTAACAGTAACAGCAAGCACCTCAGTCAATTAGGTCATGATTACACACCTATAAAAAGTTTACATGATTATATTAACTACATTCTATGAGTAAAGTTATCTTGCAAGCTGATGTGTGTGAACATTATCATTAATAATTGGTGACTCTAATGCATACTTGAAGGAAGTATTTGCAACATACTCTATACTTCCCAGCACTTACCAGCAGAAAAAAAGCTTGACTTATGGGAATTGATGAATCTGTCTGGGATTGACCTTGCTGTTAAATTCACTCCATAGATGCTGCAATATCAAAAGCCTGAGAAAGCATACAAAATAGGTGACACTAACTTTAGCACTGTCTTCCAAAAAAAGAGAAAATCCATCCATTTATCAGCAAAACTGATTTAATCTATTTTCAATTCATGCCCACGTGTCAACCGAATCTCTGTGGACAACTATCTGCTACTTTCCTTGCTATTTTATGTTAGGCTCTTTTCAAGATATGGATATCGCTAGCAGCGTAAGCAGAAAACATGGTAAGCTTGAAATGTCATTGGGTACTTTTGCGACTTGTACGCATCATCATCATCAATCGAAAATGAGCGAACACTTCTTGATTGTCGCAGCTGCGGCAGGTAGCGATTCTGACGAATTGTATAATAAAACATATATGATCAAGTTTTTGTTTTGTTTTTCGTTCGAGTTTTCAGACTTCGTGATTTTGGTTTTATTTTTCATTGGTTTAATTTTGTTTTCACCTTGATACTCACTTAAAAAACGTATTTATTTGATATACTGTTGTGTATACTACCTAGATGCCGCCACATAAACATAGCGCCGCCGCCATGATTGCACATTTTGTTGAGAAGGGGCTGGTTTGTTGTGATTTATTTTGACAAATTTATGGACATTTAAAGAAGCTTTCATCGCGAAATACTCTGTAGAGTTCCTCGTTACTTACAGTGTGTTTTGTGAGTATCCTTTTAAGGTTCTGTTCGTTAAAAAGCCGTCGGTGAAGGAAAAAAGACTGTGTTGGAATTGTCTCACTATCGCCATATATAAGTGTTAACTTAATGTAGCCCTGTAGCCCATCATTGTTGAGTGGCTTCTTAGTTTTTGGAGTTGTAGTGCTAAGTAAGTTGTTCTGATGACTACATTTTAACTTTTATTAACAAACTAATGATGCTAGAGATTCTCTGATCTTTTTGGTTGCGGAATTTTTATGAAAACCCTCCTATGTGTGACATGATGTGATATTGGATAATTCTCAAGATTCCCAAAATTCAATATCAAGTAGGTTTTCTTTCACATTGCTTAAATTTGGTTTAGTTTTTGTATTTTCCCAGTGGGTTTTGTTTGCATCAGTTTCCAAATTTTCTTAAATTGACATTAGTCGCAAAACCCATAGTGCACAAAGTTCTTGGCCCGGCCCATCCATAGCCCGTTAACTAATGATATTTGGGGGCCCGGCCCAGCCCGTAGCCCAGCCCGGCCCGTGGCCCGTTGGGCTGGCCCGGCCCGTGGCGAACACTGGCTGGCAGCTTGCCAGCGCCCCGGGCGGTGAGGAGCGGGTCACCGCAGGGGGAGGGGCGCACCAGGCGTGATTTATACCCTGCGGCGAGCTGGCGGCGACGACGGCATCGCCGCAGGCGTCTTCATGGCGCCGAGGATGGAGGGAGGAGTCTAGGGGAATCTAGGGAAGGGCGGGGCGGGGCGGGAAGCAGGATGAAGTGTGGAGATACTGACCTAAGAGCGTGTCTGTTGCGTGAATCAAAATGATTTGTGAGGAGAGAAATGGTTTGTTCTCGGCTTTATTTCGCTGTCTTGGTAACATGCGTCATGTGAAATGTGTTGCGCCGTCATCATCGCGGACATGATGACGTTAGGAACACCAGCGACGAAGGCCCAGAGTGTCATGGGGAGAAAGCACAGGCCCATGAAATGACCGAATCGTGATTTGTAGAGAGACGAGAAGAGAGGTTCTCCGTTCAATGCTTATCAATGGAAGGCCGGCTGAATAGGCATAGCAACATGCAAGTTAGTTCGAATGGAGTTTTAATGCGGCAGAAATGATTAAAGCTTTTAGCACCGTATCGAAGATGATTAGCGTGGTTCACTTGGAGAAAAACAAGCTATTAAATCCTGATTTACGATGTTTTTAGTCGCTGACTGCAATGGGACTTGGTACGATGGCTGCAATAAAAGTTCATCAGCCAAGCTTTTTTGTAGATCGATCAGCGCAACCCCCTGCCGTGGGCACTTCCAGCCAGCCGGTAACCATATGTGTCACCGCTGACAGTCAGGGAGAGATTCAATGCCGATTGCTGATGAACAAAGCACACTGCCGAAAAAGGAATGACGAGAGAGGCTTGCCCCCATTCAGCCGCGCACCTACTTCCTATTTAATCAGTTTTAACTGACACTACCGTGCTTCCTGATTGGCAGGGCCCCGATCTAATCAACTTAGTTACGCCCTCTGGCAAACGGTGACGGGCTCAGTCGTTCAGGCGTAACCTCATCTCCACGGAGAAAAAGCTAACGTGATTGAAGAGTAAAAAGAGGCGGGGAGAGAATGGAATCCACTTAGAGGAAAACGAATTAGATACCAACAGGTAAGCTCATCTTCGAATATTCACAAGCAAATATTTCACACTTTAATAAAACTCTAACCGCAACGACTTACATTAAATTCACGATCAACTATACCGACGATGATATAAGAGCATCATTCAACGTATTGGCCGATTCAACGCTGCGGCGTGGGCCATCCATCCCCACGCCTGAGGGTTCCTTCACCACCCCCACTAGCTCGATGGTGCCGTAGTAAATAACCCACCCCCATGGATCAGGGTGGGCCGCGGCGAGTCTGACTCACAAATCGATGGCCGGCGGGTGGCCCGAGTCTGAGTCACTCCGCACGGGGGGCGGGGCGGCACTGTGATGGTACTATAGCAGGGTCAGATGCGCCCTCGGGCGGCCCGCAATGACCACACTGAGGTCAGATGGAGTGTTTGGGTGGCCTACGGTCTGGGAGGTCGACTGAAGGCCCTCGTCAAGTAGTCGCTCGTATCCTGGCAGACGATAGTCATGGATCGCTGACCACCGACCTAAACACGGCATGAATGCAAAAGGTTTGTTATGCCAGCGTGTGTAGATGCACAAGCAACTGTCTTATTTTCATCCACACATAACCTAAATAGCTCAGAGCAGAAACCGTTATTTCATTATGCAGACTACAACCTAAACAGCCACTTATGCTACGTGTATACATATAACCCGAATAGCACTGAACAGGAACCGTTATTTTATTATTCGGACACCACCACTGGAAAGGGCCACCACTCCCTCCACTAAAACGCCCTCCGAGTTGTTGGCAGGAGGGCGTGTGCGTCAGCTGTGGGGGCGGGGCGGGGGGGGGGGTGCTGTTGTCTCGCCCGGGGGAAGATTAGCCGGCACAAAGAGAGGCGGGACGCCACGCCGCCGAGGGGAGAGCCGCGACCGTCGGGTGGTCGGCTCTAAAAATCCATCATCGCCGCAGCGGGGGTGGTGAAAATGGCGCCGCCACTTCTACCAGACAGCCGGCGATGCCGGAAAATCGCACCCTTTTTATGCCTGTCAATATCAACTGCCAACTGATTTTCAAGAATTTATCGTTGTTTTTTTCTTCTTCTCGTTTTTGCCCGGCTTTTCTGAGAATTTAGTAGCAGTTGGTGCCGTGAAACTTATTTCCCGTTTTCATTGTCCTCTCTGCGTAACATATGCTCCCTTCGACTGCACGCTAATCCAGATGTTCAGCAGCTATGAATATATTCACCGGTTCGTGGGGCCGTGTGGCACCCTCTCAGTCACATGAGGCACCTCTGAATTCGAGTGCATGCAT